CCCTGACCCATCCGCTGCCCGGCTGGGCCAAGCCAAAGCGGGAAACAGAGGCCGAGAGCTGGGGCTGGGTGGGGAGCTGGGGGTGGTCGGTGCTGTGGGGTGTCTGAGCGATGACATCTGTGGCTCAGCACGGCTACCAGGGGATCCAGCTCTTCCCGGGGCTGGAGGTTTATCGACTCGGGGATCTGCTGGCTTGGAGGACAGCTTAGAGCCTGCTCCCAGGGGACGGGCTCCGGTGTTTTCTTAGGAGGCGTGGAGGGTTCATGGAGGAGTTTCCTCAACCCCAAGTGTTTGCTTAACCAAAACGGGCCCTGCTTATGCTGGGGTGTCGTTTTTCATGCGGGTCCCTGCTAGGGTGTAAGTGATACCCGCTCCCGTAGGAAAGGAGGAACTGAGGCCACTGAGGCCACATCCATGGAGTTTCTCTGAGCCAAGCGGAGAAAGGGAAGCTCAGCTCCAAAGGGAGGGAGGCCTGCACAAACGCCTGCCGCAGTCAGGGAGCTCAGCCGGCTCTGACCGTGACATCTGCCCTGGGGAGGAAAGGACTCCCCAGGACACGCACTGTACCAGCATCAGGAGTGCTTTCCACCCAGCCCTTGGCGGACAAGGGTGGGTTGTGCTGGGCTCAGTTGGAAATGGGGTTCCAGCGCAGAGCCCCCAGAGAGGCTGGGATTCAGCCCTTCTGCCCCGGCCCAGGCGGAGGGCAGGGATCACGGCAGGGATCACAGCTGTGATTTCACAGCGACGCCAGACAGAAGCTGGCAAAGAAGCACCACTTAATCAAGCCAGACAAATGAGATTGCTCCCTTTGATTGAGTTACCAAGTTAATAGATGACAGAGACACAAGAGGGAGATTTCTAGATGCTGTTAAACCGTTTGACACTGCATCTCAGGAAGCTTGACTTAAAAAATTCCTCCTAATTGGGTCTCAACCCTGTCACAGGGATGGAAACCCAAAGGAAGAGCAGTGCCAGTGAGGGGGCAAGGAATGCCAAGATGGGAGGAAGGGTCTAGACAGGCGCTGCCTTAGGCCTGATCTTACTTAACATCTTAATTGATGATCTGGAAGAAGGAAGTAAACAGCATGTTAATTCAATTCCTGGAGGAAGCTGAATGGGGAGGCAGGGCACTCAGCAGGCAGAGCAAAGTCCGAAGGCCGTGGAGGGGTCAGATGCAGGGGCAGCGATGGGATGGAGCAGGGCTGGATGGCAGAGGAGACTGAGGCTGAGGTCAGGCTCACTGGGGAGGGGACACAGAGGGACAGCAGGACCTGACAGCCCCAGAGGCAGTCCTGCCTCCCCGACCTGTCCCTGCGGACATCAAGGGATCCACATGTTGCACAGCCTCCACACCAGCCCCATGGTATTGTGAGCCCATCCTGTGCTGGGGGGGTCTTACCTGGGGCACAGATTCCTGCTCCAGCTCCTCTGGCTCCCACATGAGTGTCAGCTCTGGCTTCCTCCCAACCTTTTGGAAGTGGAATCCCAGCAAGGGCAGCGCCTGCAGGCAGGGAGAATGTTGGGAGCAGTCTGTGGCCCTGCCAACAGCCCCCCACACTCAGCCTCCCACTCCGCTTGGGCTGCGGATGGGGAGGATGCTGCTTCTGCCCGGCATGCTGCCTCTGCAGCTCTTTAACTACCGGCATGCTGCAGCCCGTGAGCCTGAGCCTAGCACGTAAATCAGGGGCTGCTGTGATACACAAACAGCCCCTATATCACACTGCATGTCCTGTTTAAAGATGTCATTGCCAGCCATATAACCAGGTTATTAGGAGAAGATGCTGTCACCAGCCACGGGTGCTGGCCTACAGTGGTGCTGTCACAGCCCCGACAAACTGTCTGATTAAAGGAGTTGAAAACCAGCCTCCCTCCCTTTCCTTGCTTCAGATCTGTGTTGATCTTTGTCACCCGGAATCTGCTTTTATTCCCTTTTACCTAGACTAGATCACCTCTTGCACATAGCAGGGAGAAGCTGGCCTTCAGAGACTGGGCTGCTCCAGCCAAGCAGTCCTCCACCAGCCAGGGGATGGAGGGGACACCCCAAGAAGGAGAGGAGGGGACACCTCTCCGGTAGCCTGGCTGCAGGGCTGGCACAGAAGGGCACCAGAACAGCCACCACCTCCGATGATACCAGGCAGCTGCAATCCTCTGTGGTGAGGCAGCGTTGGCTGGAGCTCACACTGGGGAGGTACCTACATTGCAGTAGATGCGCTTCTGGACTCCAAACTTCAGCACCAGGACATCGAAGGCCTCGTTCAGGACACCCATCACCATGGCCTCTGACTCTAGAGGACCACACTCCTGCCAAAAGACAGGGCTGTCACTACACCGGCATCCCCGTCCAGCTCCCCCAAGGGGAGCTCTGGCCATTGCTTCACTGTTTGTCCCTCCTCAGGCCAGCTGGGCAGCCACACAGCCCCCTGCCCGGTGGCATCCAGGCTGAGCCTCCACGGGGAAATCCAGAGATGCTCGGGGGAAGACAGCCTTGGCTCTTACCCTGACGAAGATGGCAAAGAAGAGGTCAGCGCTGAGCTCCTGCACCCTCTTGGAAGCCATCTTCCGGTCATTGCAGTGATCTGCCTGTCTCTGGATGGCCTCTTTCTCCATCTTGATGGGGGAGCTGGCACCTGGGAAGGGGACAAGTGACAATGATGTGCCCATGCTCCCCCCTGCTCCAGACCCATGCCAAGGCACCCTGGCCTCAGCTGTCCAATTCAGCGCTGTGCCCCTGTTACTTGAGGGCACCCACGTGCCAGGCAGCTGCCCCGTGGGACACAGTCTCCCAGCGCCCAGCGTCCTTGGCAGGCAAGGCAGGCACCCAGGAGTCCTGCCTGCACCAGGCAGAGCACCCCCTGTCCTCACAGCACCCAGGGCTGCTGTGCGAGCAGCCGGGCAGCGCTCACCAAGCGAAGCGGAGAGGAGCCGGTGCACGATGATGTCTGCGTAGCGGCGGATGGGCGAGGTGAAGTGGGTGTAGAAGGGCACGTTCAGGGCGTAGTGACGGAAGAGGGTCTCGTCCTCCAGGATGCCAGTGCAGAAGTAGAGAGCCATCTGGAAGGGGAAAGAAGAGAGGGAAAGGTGTGATCAAGGACGGTGGCAGGACCCTGCAGGAGGTTGGAGGGGTCTGTGGCTGTGAGAAGGAGCTTCAGCAGCTGACGGTCCTTCACCTGCTGCTCAGTTCAGGCTGTGCAGGGACATGGTGGCTCTGCAGGAACCGAGCACAGAGCAAAGGGGGCAAAACTGCTGCAGAGAGCTGCTGGCTGCCAGCTGACCCTGCCTGGCCCCAGGGATTGTACCAGCTTTCATGTCACACATGGGTTTAAGCAGCTTTCTGCTTCTCCTCAGGCCCTGGGGCTCACTCATGGCCAGTGGCTCCCATGCCAGGCTCTCTGATTCTGGTCCGGCTGCAGGCTCGGCACACCCATCACCCCTGCTCGGAGAGCCACGGGATGAGCAGCTCCTCCATTCACTGAGGAGGAGGAGACAGCCCTGCTGTGATCCCTGCTGCTCCATCCACCACGACAGCTGGGAAGCTGGACTGCCCATCTAAACCAACACCGGGGCCGTGGAGGCACCGTGCTGCTCAGCAGCCTCTTCTCCCGGCTGCGCCGCCCCTATTATCCCACATGCTACAGCTTTTATTTTTACATCTGTGAAACACCAGCCCTGGGAGCTGGGAAAACAACAGGGGCCGAGCCCAGGCGGGGAGGGGAGGCTGCGCAGGTCAGGGGGGTTGCGGCAGGGTCACGGCACAGTGGCGATTGAGTGAACCCATTTAAAAATAAGAGCGAGTGATTTAAAAAAAACAGGAGTAGCCAGCTCTGATTACAGAGCCATCCTGGGATCCATGGTTTGGGCAGCTGCATCCTCCGCTCTCCAGTCCAGCAGCACAGCCAGCTCCTGCTGAGCAGCAACACACTGATCCGGGTAAGTAAACAGAGCAGGTTAAAAAAAGCAGCATCGGTCCCGGCCTTATTATGAGACCCAAGAGCTGGGATAGGAGCTGCGGTGGCTGCCAATTTCCACAACCCAGAATTAAATTGTTTCTGATGGACTCCACGAAGTACAGTCTCCACTCAATTAGCTCGGCTCCCATCGAACAAGGCTCTGCGCGGTCAGGCAGGGAGACATGCCGAGCGCTGGAGGCTGCTGCAGGAGAAGAGGAGTGCCCTTGTGCAGACAGACAGCATGAAATTGCACTTTTGCCAGGCTCCGGGGCAGAAGGGAGGAAGGTCCCTGCAATGCCAGGTAGGTAGAGAGCAGAGCACAGGTCAAAATCCCTGCTCCGAGAAAGGCACCGGGAAGGGCGTATCCCTTCCCTATGCCCAGCGGTACTCTGCAGTGACATCAGCCTGGCACCAAGCAGATGTTTTCTCATTAACAGATTTGACTCACAAGTGTTCTCAAATCCCCAGGGTTTGCCGCAATCCCCAGAGAATGGTGAGGAGCCTGGAAATAAATGAGCCCCAGCCGAGCAGGGGCGGCCTTCCTCTCACGGACAGATTGAATCCCCGAGTGACTGAGCCCCTGAGAAATGGTGTGTCGCTGCTCCTTCATCTGTGGCAAGGCTCCTGGCACGGCAATCCAGGCGCTCCCCCAGCACACACATCACCAGTTGCTTCCCATCTCCCGCCTCCTCCAAGAGCCTGCCGCCTGGACCACCGGCGTGCAGCGAAGATGGACGACGCGGGCTTGGCGCGACCACGGGTTAAACCTGTGGGCAGCTTGTTTTGGCTGATTTCACTGCAGCCTCGTCCCTGAAACACCAGCTTTATCACTGGGAGCTGTGCGCAGGGTGACTCTCCGCTGCCCTGAGCAGACGGTCTCGCCGCACCATCTGTCAGGGCCCAGCCCTTGACACCGGCACAGGCCCCTGCAGCTGCCAACACTGTGTCCTCGCCCCCAAGAGGGACCACGACGTCCGGGGAGATGGGCAGGAGGGGGCTGATTCTTCCATCTGCTCTAGTACTGATAGGAAACAGCAAAAAATCCTCCTCTCAGGGAAATCTCCTGAGAGCACGTTTGCCAGGTGTGAGTGCGCAGCACACCTGAGCACGTGAGCACGTTGGTTTTCTGACAGTGAAATGGGACTAGTTCCTGCCAAAATCATGTCTCGTGAATATCTCGTTTGAAAGTTCTTCTTTCTTCTTCCACAAGCTTTCTGTCTGGCATCTATGCCGCGGAAGACTTCATCCCCAAAACGCTGATACCGCTTTCATGTATGGATCTAACATGTATTCAAAGGCCTAAATCTTAACACGAGCCACTGGAAGCTATCTCAGAGCACACCCACCCCCTCTCCGACCACAGCCACAAAATCTCAGCAAGTCAGTGGGTCCCAAAAAGCTTATCTCCTCGTTGGTGCCACTGCAGAACTGAGCTGCCTCCCCTTGCTCATCTCTCCCAGTCAGCAGCTGGGCTTTCTCCACACGCTGCTGCTGGCAAAGCCCAGGCTTGTGTCAGCAGGACCAGAGAGGGACCCCAAGGAGTTCAGGTCACCAGTACACCTTCCACCAGAAAAGGAAGATGTGACAGAAAAGACCAAGACAAGCCAGAGTGGGATCTGTGACAACACAGCAGGCTCCAGAGGACACTCCCTGCACTTCACGAAGCAGCACTCCTGAGCTGGACACGAGGGGGTGATTTACCGAACGGCCTCAGTCCCCAGTACCACCGGCAAGCAAACATTAAGTCACTAAAGTACAGCAGGACTTCAGGCAACTGCTAATGAGTAAATGGAGCAAGTAAGCTAATTAGAAAAGTGACAGTCAGATGAGTGATGTTGGGAAGATGATTCATTCCTGCAGCGATAAGCAGGCCACAGCAGCGAGACCATTTCAGGAACGTGTCCCTTCCCCCTGTGGGGTAGGACTTCCCTCAGAAGAGGCTGTGCTATGACCAGCTCCAAATGGAGAACGGCAGAGGCTTCACAAAACCTTCTTCTGATGGTGATAAGCACCTGAATAATTGTCCTGAACTGCAGATGTACCAAACGACAATCAGTGTGAGTAGCACAAGCCTCCACTGCAGACCTTCACAGAAGCCTCTTGGTCTGGAGGGAAACCAAAGAGTTTCCAGAGCTTCCCTGCTTCTAGGACCATGTGGCCTGTGGCCAGTCCCACATTCCTACATCATCCTCACTCTTGATTCCTTCTGTGGACCGGTTGGGATATCATGATATGAAGAAACAGCACAAACACGAACCACGGAGCCCGCCACCGGCTGTCCACAGAGCAGGCTGGGTCCCCGTGAGTCTGCTCACACCCCACATGCAACTGCAAGGGCGACACAGCCCTACCACTGCTCACAGGGACCCTATGGGGGGTGAGGAACGACTCAGCCTGGCCCTGCCATCCACTGAAGCTCTGTTGCCTTGGGGATACCCCCACTGCAGGCTCCATGGGGCTGGAGGCACTGAGGGAAGCTGCCGGCAGCCCTGCAGCACCACATTTGGTGTCCATTCACTCCCCCTCTACGTAACAGCCAGCTACGAAGACGCAGAAGGGCGAGGGTTGACGATGGAGCCGCAGCAGACAGCTACAGGCAGACGTGTCCGACAGCGGAGTGCTGTTCTCACCTGCATGGGCCTGGAGAACATGTTGGTCAGCACTTCTTTCCTAGCTTCGGAGTATTTGTCAGCGCCAAACGTTTCATTTAAGCTTTTCTGGAGGAGAAAAGAGAGAGCATTCAGCGTAGGCAAGCTATGGGGGCAGGGGGACCCAGGCAGACCTTACTGGGGCAAACAGCAGCTCGTCAAAGCCAAATTCCTCCTTTCCCTGCAAATCCTCCTCTAAGCCAAAAAATGCACGTGAAACTAGGCTTTGGTCTGGTCCCAGCAGCCCTGACAGGACAGCACAGAGTCCTGAGCACTGACCCACCTTCTGGGGTCAATGGGAAGGAGCACTGGGGCACAGGGACCGCCGGCTCCATCCCCAGATGTGCAGCGTGTGAGAGCACCCGTATTCCCTCCCCTGACCTGTGCCTGGCTCCCATCTGGCTACGGAGAGTTCCAGCGCATGGCCCAACGGGACTCTGGAAGACTGGATTCGGGAGGTCACTGCTCGGGCTAGCGGCCAGGAAGGGCTGGAGGGTTCGAAGTGCAGGAGAGGAGCTGAGTGCGCAGCCCCACGTCTGCTGACATAGCCCTGGTGCAGCCCGCAAGCGGGAACAGCAGTCCCAGCTGACGGAGGGCGTGCGGGAGGCCAGCGAGGATGGGATTAACAGAGGATTATCCACAGTCCAGTTGCGGCAGTAAAGAAAATCCTGGAACCTGTGCTGTGCCGTTCAGCTGGAGTTCAGCCTCAGGACACACTCAGCAGAGGATCGGTCGGATACCTCCCGCACGGGCTGTGGCTGACCTTTCCCAGCACTGCTCTCCAGTCCTTACCAGCCACCCCACTCCCCACCCTGCCCTCCCCGAGCCCTTCAGCAGCCCGGACAGAAACACTCCCTTGCAGACCTACTTTTCCTGTGGTACAGAGCAAATGCTCTGCCCGGGACCTGTGGAGAGAAGGCAGGGAAAGGAAATCTGGGTGTCTTAGCGAGTGCTCCTGCACTGCAACATCCTTCCCCTTGCAGAGAGGGCAGCGCTGGGGTCACCGACAAGGCCCTCCCTGCCTTGCTCTCAGCTCTGTGCACCACATGGGTGACTGGGATAGGCTGGGCCACCCTTCCCCAATGCTGGTGGGGCCAAGAACGAGTGAGGGAGGCGTGTTGTTTCGGCATGGGATAGTCCTGAGCTCTGCTTGGGCAGAGCGGGACGGGGAATAAACATGCCACCGCATGGGTACCCACGCTGCTCCCCGCCAGGTCGGCGCACTCACGTGCAGGGTCCCCGCGCTGCTGAAGTCAATGTCAAGGCCGACTTGGTTGCAAAACTCCATGAGGTCTTTCAGCAGCTTGGTTTGGGGCGGGGGGTGGCGGCGAAGCAGAGCCTGCTCGGGGAAGGAGCGGTAGATCTGATGGGCCACGGCCATGTTCGCGAGCAGCATGAACTCTTCCACCAGCCTGCAACACGAGACAAACAACCCCAGGCCCCAGTTAGAAAGGGCAGTCCCACGGGAAGCCCAGCCAGCCCACAGTGATGGGAATTCATACGACACGGGGGAACGAGGGAGCAGCTTGTAGTTGCTGTTAGAAGCACAGATTAGATGTGAGACTGCAGCAAATCCCCCCCCACATTCTCACTTTCTAGGTGAGGTTTCCTCGGGGACGCAGAGCAAGCCATCCTGCTGGCGCAGACAAGCAGAAGTCCGTGACAAATTGACAGCTTAAATTAGGATAAAATAATCTCCCTTTAGGTCATTTTACCTCCTGAAATGCTCGACAAGCAAAACAAACACTGCGCGAGATACAGCACAGAAAACAAACACGCGTCGCTGTGTTCCTGAGCCAGAGAAAACAGCGTCTCGCTCGCTGCCCCCCTCCCGAGCTCAACATGTGTGGTCAAGCCCAGCCACCGAGCCCTGCCCCACGCCGGGCTTCCACCCAGAGCACGATGCGGCCCCCAGGCAGGGAAAGCCACCAGCGCAGCTCGCTGCCGGGCTGCCTCCAGCATCCAGGCGATGCAAAGGGCTCCGCGGGCTCCTCCATCCAACCTGCAGACTGCTGGGGTTATCCGGGGCTGGGGTGAGCCCCCCACCTTCCACCTCTGAGTGGAGACGCCTTCTACGGAACTCTCCGGGACTGTGCGCCACAAAGAAAAACAATCCCAGCGCTAGAGATCATCTGTGGAGCGTTTATGGGTTGTGCTACCAGCTGTAGGGCTTTGCCACAGGAGACTTGTTTAACCGGGCTTAGATAAGCAGAGAGATGTGCTTAACTGGGCTTCCTGCTATTTGCTGCCTGTATTCCCAGGGCTCCTAACTGGTGCTAATTGCCAAAAAAGATAACAGATTTGCAGAAGTAACCTCATCCTCCGAGCAATGCCCCAGCGAGCTGTCACCGGTTACGCCGGCTCAGCCCCGTCGCTCCTGCAGGCAAAGCGGCGATGGCGCGGGGTGCTGGGGGCCCAGGGCTGGAGGTGGTGGTCCTGCAGCCTCCAGCACTGGCCATGGCTGGGGAGACTGGCCCGGTGAGACGAGCAGGGTGCTGCGCTCCTGGGGTACTTGGTCTAGCAGCGATACATTCCCAGCCTGGGAGTACTTGCCAAGAACTTGGAAGAGAAAGGAAATAAAAGACGAGCCCTGAGGAGGAATAAGCACCTGATGGTGATAATCAGCAGTGGGAACATGTTTAATGGGAAGGAGGTTTCTCAACAAGAGCCTTGTGGGCTCTCCCAGCGCATGTTGATCCAGAGGCCGATAGTTCAGACCGCACAGGGAGGGCAGGAGGGACGCCCATCGCTCGTGGGCAGCGCGGGAAGGGGTGGGAGCAGCACAGCCCAAGTGGGAGCGGGCTACCCACCCCGTCCCCCAAAACACCCGCCAATCGGCCAGGGGCTGGGGCATGAGCCCGCCGCCCCGG